CCCCAAAACCCCAAAACCCCAAAACCCCAAAACCCCAAAACCCCAAAACCCCAAAACCCCGTGGAGTATGTTAAAAATTGAGTTGACTGATTTATAATAATTTTCAAATGGAAGACAAAGATCAAAAATGAAATAAAAGCACAGACCTCATGAATCAGTAAGAATCTCTCAGTATCAAAGGCTGAAAGATAGCATTACAATGACTACTTTGGCTATATTTGGAGTCTCTAAAATGCTCGGTTGCATTACTCATTTTAATCCTAGTCTGAATCTCACTCAAAACTATATAGGAACAATGAGGTGACCCAAAACACGAGGTTTGAAGTGAAGGAAGCAGAGAATATCACAGGTAATCTAGAGATTCCAAATTAGCCCACAAGCAAGCCATTTTATGACTGAGTTTATTTTTAGAAACCTAAAAGAGAAAGCTTTTATCTCAAGAGATGTTTGCTCCTTTACCTTGCTTATTTTCACATGAAATATCCATTGAATATACTTTAGTCTGCTTCAAGAAGCCATTATGTAAATTTTAGAGTTTACTAGAATACTTTAACTAATAAATACTTCTTTCAAAATTTTAATTTAAGCAGAAGAAACTATCCTCAAGCTCTAAACATACACAGTTAGACAATTCTATATAGGAGAGGGCACTGAAAAACATAAAGACAAGACTCAGTTTGAAGAAGAAGAGAAGATAGCCTACAAGGATCTCCCACAAGAAGGCAATTTCAAGGTCACAGTATATATTCGAACCGTAATTCCTAGGATATTGACAAAGTAATGGCAGTGCCTACTTCAGACTTATTAGAAGTAACTGAAACGTTACACCCAGATGTGATTACCACGGATATCAAAGGCGATCCAAAGCTTACAAGTATTTCTGGAGTACTGCCGCCTTGACCACAAGTAAGTTGCTGATGTTCCTTACTAAAATACACTGTTTATAATCCTATCTTCCATACAACCTCAAGGAGTAGAACGCCCCCAGGATGCTGAAGACCAGAGTAAGTCTTATTATTGACACAGAATATGAAAATAATATGGGTCCTCTCTACTAGCTTCTGAATAAAAATTAGTCAGACTTTCAAAGGAAGATAAAGCCTTCTTCTTACAAAATAATTAGCTGAATCGTGGGTATTACAGTGATGGGTTAACATACCAATATTTGAGGGTCTTAACTTAATTTCACCCAAGTCTGGACCTAGTACTTTGGGTTTCGTTAAAATGTCCTCAGATTGGGTATCATAAGGAGACCAAAAACAATGTTTATGACCACAAAGAGTCTATTTTAAATAATTAAGGTTACGAAAAGGTGTCCTCAGCGGCTAGTATCTTCCAGGCTCTTCTATTTAGATATTAACTCACTAAATAAACCTATAGAGGAAGAAGACAAAGAAACTGAATCTAGAGCTATAGAGGAGGCGCAAACCTCTGAGAACCAATCTGAACTCCCATTTGCACAAACTAGTCTCAATCAAAGCAAAGGTGGAGTCCAAATGATGTCTAAGTCTGGACCTAAAAAGCCAATGTCTCCTTTCTTCCAGTTTTCCAAAAGCAGGAGGGAACAACTTAAGCAACAGAACCCTGGCTTGAGCATGAGAGATGTGAATATGCTTCTAGCTCAAGAGTGGAGAGCCCTGACTCCTGAAGCCAAAGCTCCGTTCAAAGAACTTGCTGCTAAGGATAAGGAGAGATACGAGAGGGAGAAGAAAGAGCTAGCTCAGACAGAAACTTCAGAGAGCAAACTTCAGTAAATCCTGTTGTACAAGAGCCCAAGCCTATGCGGTAATTATGTTTCAAGCAGTCCTAAAATACTGAGTGATAGGGTTCTCATGAGTTAAACAGGTTTCAAACTGTTTCAATATTAAAAGCCGATATGGGGTTTTGGGGTTTTGGGGTTTTGGGG